TACAAAATGACATTTTCCAAGAATGAAGTTTCTGGTGCAAAACTATTTGTGTATTTCAGCTGAAGTTTCTCGTTTGGCTTATGGCAGCGATGCTCACAGGGTTTCTCCTGCTGCAGTCCAGGACAGATGTGCTGTCGGCACTGACCCAGCCCCTGGCAGCTTGTGCTGAGACAGCTCCCTCACTCCTGGACAGAGGTCTGAGAGGTAAAGTAGTACAGATGCTTCTACGAGGAGCTTGTCTGAACACTTGGATCCAGACTTTTTCTTCCTCCTCTAGAACTTGCCTAGTGTTAATCCTACATGTTCAGCTTATCTGTTGACTTTAAGTAAGGACAATTTAGATATTCTTTCCTCTTGGACTATATAGATTTATTGTAAGCTGGGAACACTGTGCTCCACTCATTTAAGTGCAAAGAGTCCATTAAGCTCCAAATAGGATGAAACAAACCACCCTAGGGCAAAAAGCAGCTTCACTCTTCCCAGAAAGGGCTTTTCCTGTAAGTCAGAGTGTATGACAACAACCACGAGCCTGTGAGCTGTAAATCAGTGCCTCCCACTGCCTGGGGACCAGGGCAGAGATGTCATTGCAGGGTCACAGTGGCAAACTTCACCACCACCCGGTGAATGAGGGCTCATTACAGCCTCACAGCATTACCTCATGCTCCCTCATAAAGGCTGGGGTTCACGGGACCTCATTCAGCTAGAGCCAAGGCAGAAAGGAGCCTGATGCACACGTTGTACATGCTGGCAGTGCAGATGCGGATTGCTGCAAGCTGGGTGGACCAGCTCAGGAGCTCACTGTTCACAACGGAGTACCATTTCCTGATGCTTTCTTCATCTCTTGAAACTTTGATGCAACCTATTTTAAAAAATGGGTTATTTCCGTAATATATTAATTTCTAAATAGGCTGATGCCAACAAACTCTGTTCAGGTTCATTGGCCTTGGGCAAGTGAGATCACCTCAGTTCTCGCCTGCAGATGAAAGAGGTGGCATCTTTCCTGGTTTTCATGTCATCAGTAGGTGAAGGATGGATGGGGGAAGCCCATAGTACCCCCCTGGAGAGCACTCACAGCAGGGCCATATGTCTGTTCCCTGTTTTTCTGAGCTGCTAGGTGCAATTGCATATCTTGCTCAGAAAGCTGTATCATACCAGGGACATGTTGGGGACAGCCTGATACCTGCCACTTGTGTCAGCATGACACCAGATGTCAGATCCCAGATGGAGCAGGAGTGCCGGGTGCTGTGCCAAAGCACAGGTGGTGTGCGGGAAGGGGAATTGAGCGGAGAAGACATCAGGTCAGCAGGAGAGCATGGATTTCCTCTACCCAATCTAGATAATACAGCACGCAGCCAGGCTTCCCAGAAAGCATAAAAAAAGCAAATAGGGCAAAAAAGGCTCTTGGTTTTTGATTTATTCAAACCCATTTTTAGTGTTTTCCTAAACACAGCCATTTATTAACAGGAAGAAAAGATGCAGCAGCAGCTTTTCCACACAGGTAGCTGACATGTAAATCACTTAAGAAAACTGAGAATTACTGTGGTGTGGTGGTGTTTGTTGTTGGCTTGTTTTTTATTATTTTATTGTTCTTGCTAGAAGAGGCTTCAAACAAGAAAGCCCTGCCTTGCTTACAATGCAGAATTTCCTGGTCAAGTATTCTGCAAACAGACTATGCAAATCTCAGGCATTGATTGACAATCGCAATTATTATTTCCTCGGAGATAAGAAGCCTTCATTTTCTAATGGCTGTTCTATTTGCGAGTACCACTAACCTTAGATATGATGAATTATTATTTTAGGTAAGGCCAAATGGCACGTAGATAACAATAAAAATTCTTGGACAGACCAGGAAATAGGAAAAATTGGGTGATGGTTGGTTTTAATTTATATAGTTGATGTGTCACATCCTATCTTTCTTGTGATTTGGATTATTGGAGAGCAAAGGAAGCACTCCAGTCTAAAATACTACAATTATAAAGTCAGTGGAAAAATCTAAGGCACTCAACATTAAACAAAACTAACCAGAATTTATACAAGATGCTGCCATCTTGACAGGATCTGAGGAGAAAATATAGTAACACAGTTCTTATTTAAAATCACAAAACCTTAGTGGGCTGCAATGCAGATGTAAAGGTTATTCATCAGGCTCTCCTCCTAAAAATCTGCACAGGCAGAGTGCTGAGAAGTATGCTTGGTATTTTTTGCACTGAATACTTTGTATATGAATACTAACTGCTTTTCCATGGTTGCCACTTCAGAAAGGACCAATACCAACAGTGCCTTTCTTGCACATAGGCGAAGAAAACTCAACAAGGTCACTGTTGAGTGCCCAGCTCTCCTCATTTATTTCCCATATAACCTACCTCCAGAAAATCCTGATGGCAACAGCTTAATATACACTCAGTTTTAAGGTAACATACACTGAAGGACATTACTCCAAGTATTAGCGGAAAAAGACAGCCAAGAAAAACAGATCTAAGGGTATTTGAGACTGTTAAATTACATAATCATGTATCTTGTGCAATACATGTACAAACACTGAGGCGGAGCCTACAAGATTATGTAAGGTGAGCCTCACCTCTGTGCCAGGGAAGATCATAAAACAGATCGTCGTGGACTCTACGTTAAGGCACATGGAAGACAGGGAGGTAGTATGAGACAATCAGCATGGCGTCACCAAGTGTAGATCCTGCCTGACAAAACTTGTGGTCTTCTATGATGGTGAAATCGCATCAATGGACAAGAGAAGAGATACTGATGTCATCTATCTGGACTTCAGTAAGGCCTTTGACACAGACCTCCCATAACATCTCTCTCTCTAAAATGGAAAGATATGGATTTGATGGGTGGACTGTTTGGTGGACAAAGAACTGGTTGTGAGATTGTACCCAGAGAGTGGTGGTCAATGGCTCAATGTTCAGATGGAGATCAGCGGCAAGTAGTGTACCTTAGGGTCAGTACTGGAACCAGTGCTGCTCAATATTCTCAGCAATGACATTCACAGTGGGACCGAGTGCACCCCCAGCACATCTGTGGATGACACCAAGCTGCGTGGTGTGGTAGACATGTCCAAGAGATGGGATGCCATCCAGAGGGACCTAAACAGACTCAAGCAGTGGGTCCATGAGGCTCAAAAAATCCAAGTGCAAGATCTTGCACCTTGGTCATGGTAACACTCAGTATCAGTCCAAGGTGGGGGATATAAGGATAGAGCACAGCCCTGCTGAAAAGGACTTAGGGGTCCTGGTGGATGGCAAGCTGGACATGAGCCAGCAATGTGACCTTGCAGCCCAGAATGCCAACCATGTCCTGGGCTGCATCCAAAAAAGTGTGGCCAGCAGGGTGAGGGACATGATCTTGCCGCTCTGCTCTGTGCTGTACTCACCTGGAGTACTGCATCCAGATGGGGAGTCCTCAGTACAGGAGAGACATGGAGCTGTTGGAGTGTGTCCAGAGGAGGGCTGCAGAAATGATCCGAGGGATGGAAAACCTCCCCTGTGAAGACAGGCTGAGTCTGTTCAGCCTGGAGAAGAGAAGGCTGGGGAGAACTGAGTGTGGCCTTTCTGTATCTAAAGTGGGGCTCTAAGAAGGAAGAGGACAGACATTAGCAGGGTCTGTTGTGATAGGACAAAGGGAAATGGTTTCAATTGAAAAGAAGGGAAATTTAGACTGGTGTAAGGAGGAAGTTTTTTATGCTAAGGGTGATGAGGCATTTGCACAGGTTGCCCAGAGAGGTTGTGGATGCCCTGCCTATGGAGATATTCAAGCTCAGGCTGGACAGGGCAATGAGCAAACTTGCTCAGTAGCTTTAGGTATCCCTGTTCATTGCAGGGGATTTGGACCAGGTGAGCTTTAAGTATCCCTTCCAACTCAAGCAATTTTATGACTCTACAATAAGCATCAGTCTCACTGATATGAATAAACTCTTAACTGAAGAGTCATGGAGACTTGGGGCTGGGCCAATGGAGAAATGGGGGCAGCCGCCCCTGGATGCTCAGCTTGTGTGTTCAGAAACAACTTTCTTTCGCATGAAATGCTTCCAGTAACTGCAACAACAGAAAATGGACGTGGGGGAAAAAAAAAAAAAAAAAAAAAGCATTAAAAGCAATGCATTGCTTGTGCTGTGAGCTTTCCTCAACACAAAGAATCAGGTCACGCAGCATGTTGTTCATCAATGTTAATGATTCCCCACAGCTGTGCTTCATCCCAAGGCACGCAAAGGTCACAGCAGTTCTACCTGGAAACAAGCTCTAAAGGATTTTAGCTGCTGATCCCTGAGGGGCACAGTGGCCACACATCACATTCTTGCAGTGTTAGGCATTAGGCTTACCCAAACACTTCGAGCTGAGATGCACTCATCCTCAGGCAGAGCCATACTCACAAGCAGTGTGCCTGGCATTGGCCAAAGTCATGACACAACTGCTCAGGGCTTGCGTGCATGTGTGCCATCAGCTGTAGCCTTCACTTGCTCATCCCTTCCTTCTGCAGGGATCCCATCTGCTTGCAGCTCTTGGCTCATCTCTTGGCTGCCCCTTTGCCTTACAGAGACACATTCTATTCCAGGCTCAACCTAAGGGAAAGAAATGTGCAGGAGGTTCCTGGTTAAGAGAAGTGCTGCTGTGGGGCACCTATCGAGCAATAACTGACTTTTAAGAGCTCTTTGGCTCTGGCAGAACTTTGCAGAACCTGAGAGTTCAGAGATGCATGCTAACTTCTACAAAAACACTGGATATCAACACCGTTGGCTTCTCCACCCATTCAAGTCTCTAGGCATTTTTCTTTTTCATCTCTCCAACTGCAGCTATTGACAAATTGTGTCCAGTCTGTTCTTTCCCATTAGCGAGCCCTCAGGCTCCACTGAGTCACCCGACCTCTTTCACAGCACATGACGAGGTCTAAAGGCAGTGGGGACACCCAGTAAGCCCATAGGGCTTTTCCTTTGCAGGCCAAAGCACTTCATGCAAAATATTTCAGAAGATAGCAAGGAAAACTGAAGCAGATTTTGGAGCGTGTCAAAACTGACAAACTTTTTAATAGCCCGAGTGTAAAGCATCTGCATGGAATTGGGATTTTCTAACATGATATTTGCTTACAGATAGCACATTTACTCTGCAAGAAAAAGCAAGCTTTGTTTAAAAAATAAGGCCTGCTCTAAAGCATGCCACTGGGGTGCACTTATTAGGATCCCTTTGTGCTAGGAGAAATAAAAGGTCACTCTTTAAAGATTTGTTGCTGAAAGGGTTTCAATGAAATCTCAACAATGTAAGGAGGAAAATATATTTCAGTTTCAAATGCTAAGGAAATAAAACTCAATATTGCATCAACTTTTCCCCTTACTTGCATTTTTAAAGACTCCATGGCTTATCAGTGTGCAACAGCGTCTGACTGCATTCATCTTTCATAAAGAAAATATCATTTTCAAGAGAAGCAGTCCCTAGGAAACTGAAAAAGAACAGACACGCATGGCTTTGGAGCACACCAAGCAATAGACCAGAGATGTTTGCAGAAGAGGACCCAACAAAACAAATACAAGGTAGACCAAGAGTCATGTCCCTGCCATGACGTCCTCCTGCTGGGGTGGGATTTGGTTAGCAGATGGGTGAGTAGTGGTGAAAGAGGAAGGGGAATGCAGTCAGTGGGATGAAAGAACAGTGTGCGCTGTCAGTGTTAGATCAGTGCATTAAAGTGCTCCAAATACACTGAAAGCACTTCACACATGCAGCTGTCCATTGCAAGACTGAAATTACAGTATTTCTTAGTCCTAGCTCCTAGTCTATGTGGGATACACCTGTGGACACAGCACTGCATCCTTATTTCATATAACTGATTGTAGTAGGAACTACTTCACCTTCCATTAGCAGCAAGGCAGCTCCTGACACAATTGAAACCTTTAATCAGAACAGGCAACATCACACTTGATATTTCACAGTATTTATCCAAATAGACTATTTCCAAGGCAACAGGTCCCCTACTAAGAGAATCACTGAAAGAAAGCAGACCCTGGAAGTGAATCACTGGCTCTGCACTAATGTGAACAACACTTCATTCTTATAAATGCACTTTTAAGTGAAGCTAATATGAAAATCCGTATGAAATCTTGCAGCATAAGAAAGACTTGTGGCCTCTGGGACCCAGAATAAGGACAACACTGCAATTTTGAGCAGACATAAGCTCAAGTTTTGCTTCACGGCAGAATAGCTGATATTCTCAAAACAAGCTATATCTCAGCAATGCCTTCAACATTAACATAACTAAACTTCAAGTGCAAAATTCATTAGCATCTACATACTCAGGAGAAGACAAATATAAAGAGACTGAGGAAAACAAATTATGTCTCAAACGCTAATTCTGAGTATCTTTAATGAACTGTACAGATATCAACACCTGGATTTTACAGTCTCAGCTGAAGTATATTATATTTCATACAGCCAGGATGCCATCTGGTAGATGAACACGTATCTTCTGCCCTGTGATGAAGTAGCAATTGACCCCTGAAGGCTCTCACTGATAACTTTTCAAAAAGATGTGCCTCTTGGCTAATTGCAACATGAAAGAGTTCTTGTTGAATGAAGCAGAACACACTCCCAAGCATTGCTCACAGGCCTTTCAAATCATCTTCACAGACAGACTGGGATCATACTGCAATAGAAGAATCTTCCAATAGCATAACGTTGACTGACACTTTTCACTTTTACTTTTCAGTGTGTAAAACCTATTTCTGCACTTCTTCCTCCAAAGAGAAGCACTGAATTGAAGCTAGGCAGAAGTCTGACCACATTAAAAGGAAGATAAAGGGTAAAAACAGATGGGTTAGCCTCAGCTAAAACCCTTCACAGAGAGCAAGAATTTTGCAATAGTCCCTTTCCTATAGCCAGTTATGCTGTGCTAGTTACATTAACCAACTGAATTTAGAAAACAAAAAAGAAAAAAAATATTACGTCAATTTTAATCAGTGCACTTTCACCTGAAGATGCAAGCCTGAACACAGTAGGCAAAAGGAAAATCCTGCTTCAGGGAAAACCACCAATAATCATACGCCATGCATCAGAGATCCCTAGGACTGAAATGCTGACATTTTTATGCTCTTAGAAGCTTAGACATACAGTACATAAAATAGCTGCTGCAAGCAGGATATTGCCACAATGGGCTGCCTGAAAACTTGAATCTGAGTTTAAACAAATCTTCTTCCATTAATCCTTTTCCATTTAAAAACAGTCTACAGCCCAACCAGTTCCTTTCAGCAAGGCAAAAGTTACAAGCCAACAACAAACAGTGTCATAGTGATGATTCTTCTGTTTTGATCTTTTTGGTTTGTCCATTAGCATCATGTTGCAGATTCTGCCTTTTCTTTTTCTGCTTCTGTATTCTTTCCTCTTTCCTCTGTAGGTAGACAGCCATGTTATCAAACGAAGCCTTGTACAGACTGCTGTAGTGGCTCTCTGCACCAACAAATCCTGCAAGTGGTCAAAACAGGAACACAAGACATGTGTTAATTCCCTTAGCAGTCTCACCAATTATTTCCTGAACTGGAGATTCAGACAATGGAATTTCAACTCATTTACTGTAGTCCTATCCACTTAATTAAATACAGCATCAGCACTGTTTGTGGGAGTATCATCTGTTCTGCATTCACAAAGCCAAGTGCAACCAAGCTAAAAAAATTAATACCCAGGCAGGCACCTGGCTCCCAAGCAAGGAAAGCACAGCTCTCTTTACACACTGGACACTTGCACAACTTCAAGGCTCCCGTTTCTAAATTACTGCTGTAGCAACCTATTATTAGACAGCCCGCTGGCATTCTTCCCCAGTGCTTAAACAATGCAAAGGCCATAAATTACTACGTAACTGTCCTTAGTTGACTTGTTTCCTAGAGTTTCTTAAATTAAGCCCAGAGATGCAGGCATCAGTCATTTCTTCCAGTACATATGCACTTCTAAGCATTCACCCCCAGTGATTTTGCTACAATTCTGTGAATTGAGCATAATAGTCATCATAGCATCTCCAGGTCTTTAAGTTTAGAGGTGTTTGAATAGGTAACTACCATGCAAAAGATTGCAATCAGATTATTATTGCAGAGAATTCACCACGGCACCAGCTGGTTAGGTTCACATTTCTGAAAATTCCAGAGGATCCATCTGACAAAGCTAATTATCACTGGTTCCCCTTTTTACCCTTGCCTTTTTTTAACTTCCAGAAAATCTTGATCACTAGCATGAAAATCCAGTGTTTGCTACAGTTTGGTCCTGAAGCAAGTGTTCTTCTCCACGGTAATGTACATACACATACTGCTGCTTTTTGGTACACAAACATAGCAACTTCGCCTCGCTAGTACTTGGCAAAGTATATGGTTTTACTTTCAAGGGTCTTGCACTCACACAGAAACCAATTGAGCAGCCTTTGTCCCTGGACAAACTGTATGCTGTCATTCTGAATATCTGTTCTGCACTCTGCTTGGTCAGCCAGCACTAGATCTTGCTTGACCTTCTTTCTGGGATCAGTTCAACATCTGTATCAACACTGACCTACACATCTTAAAGCCTAAGAATCAGCAAAGAGCTGAAAGATGTTTCTAAAAGGCAAAAAGGAGGCTATGCAGACATTTGGAAAACTGGTTTAAGCAATATAATGATCACCTTTTTCAAGAGAAGTAGCTGCCTTTTCAAGCACTAATAACGGACTAGAGTAAGTACTTATCAAGTGAGCCTTCCCTTACTAATTAAGCATAATAGATCCTGTCAAGGAGCAGTCCTCCTTTCCCAGCCGCAGATGCAACAGGCTATCATGTATCACAGTAATTTGCTACACTGGAAAATTATGTTCAGAATCTCTTCCCCTGCATGCTCTTATTACTTCCCTATTATTCATTTTCACTCAGCCCTTGTACTTTTAATAATCTGTCTGGCTGTAACTATCAAGTCTGCAACATCTACATGCAAACACAACCCCCTTCTAAAAGGGCACTTGACTTCCTTTGAGATTTCGAAGGTCGAGCACAACCACCTTAATGGCAGCCACTATCTACTCTCTTACCATCTCCACCATACTTTCACATCAAGGTAAGAAACAAGAAACAAGAAAACAAACCATGAAGTTCAGTATCAGAGCAGTAAGAGAGATTGCAGCAGATCTGTAATAGGGTGTTTATATACAGCCATATGCTAAGGTATCTGTGTAAAACAGATTCCTGCACTATTTTTAAGAATAGTAACTTGAATACCATTCATTATCAACACTAATTTCCATACCGGATAGAAAGACAAAGCTGAAAAGGGAAAGCTGAGAGATTAAGTAACTTTAAGAGAACTGATCAGAACTCTGGTTTTGTTCTTAAAACTTTAGCTCTAAAATTACTGTTCCTAGGCCAAATTTCTCACCTTCAAATGCTGTCCAGTTGTCAAGAAGATATTTAGACATCCTCTGCAATTCTTCATCATCAGTTACAGACTGGAAAAAGGAAGAACACTACATGATATTTCATGCATAAACAAGGAGTCTGGTGTTTGATAGCAAACTGAAAAATGCAACAGCTCACAGATGAGCACAGCAAAAGGACAGTGAGGACTTTTAAACTAAACAAGTGCAGCACCCAGAGAGCATAAGCAATGCTTTAAAGTACTGTGTACCATGGTTGACAAACATTCTCTTTGATGCTACTGCACCAGATGTTAGCTTTACCAGAGAAGAGACTGGTAGCAAGCTCTCAGTGGCTTTGCATTATATAGACGTAAGAGAAGTAGAATGTGTGATAACTAAGACTTCTACTCAGTCTCAAAACTGAAAAAAAAGAAGCATATCAGTTGTTAGTTTTCACGGAACATAGTTCACCCTGGTTTTGTTAGGAGGTCAAGACAAAACCTCCACAGTATTAGCATAACATCAGTATCTACCTTCCACTGTCCATCACATGGTCTGTACAATTGAAGAGGGGCTTCACTGTCTTCCTGTAGAATCCAGATTTCTCCTGTTTCCTCAAATGCAATGTCCCAACATTTATGTTTCAAAGAGATTTGCTCTCTGTAAACTAGCTGCTGGGCAACGGCATCAAGCTGAAAGATGTAGACTGTGGGAATACTTTTGAGAGGAAAAACTTAATTACCATTATTACCAAATCCACCTACTGCCATCATTTCTCAGCAAATGACAAACACCCACTCTCAATCCAAACAAAGCCAAAGCAAATCATTAGGAATTGCAAAAAATACCCTAGCACTGAGGCAGAAGCTGCAGGTATGTAGTATGTCAAATGGTCTTCCAAATGTTGTATGAAAAAAAAAGCAGCCACACTGCCTTTTCTTTAAAAGAAAAAGGTAGTAAAGGAAATTACTCAGGATTTACATGGGGAGCATTTCATCACAGCACAACTGGTCTAAACGACTCCAAATGAAAGAATATTTATCTGAGCACTGATAAAAATAAAAAAGGAAAATAATTACATGCCAGGGAAATGAAGGAGGAATGAGAGGGACAGGAAACCACAAAATGGCTGAAGAACAGGTTTGTAGCACAGCACTGGCAAGGAACTCATCTCCATCTTTCCTGATAGCCCTCATTCCTTCATGTACTGTGCTCCCTAACTTCCCTGGACATCTCCACTCTCTCTGGGCTGGCCTACAAGGCCTACACAGCAACACTGCTTAGAAATGCTGGGCTGTGGAGCTGTAAAAAAAAAAACAAACCCTGACAAAGAGCATGGCGTGGCTCCTGGCTTAACTAGCACAGACACTTAAGCTGCCGACACAAAGCCTGGCAGTACATGCCAGATGGTCCTCTGGCAAAGACCAAGTTCACCAAGGGGACAGATTGCTGACTGTATGGACAGCTTTGGCCATCTCTCCCTTTCCTGCTGGCATGCTTTTGTCAGCAAGAACAGTTTTCCTGGCAGACATTAGGTGCTGCAGAAAGAGAGGGGAAGACTGTCCATCTCTGCAAGGTATTCCCCTGCCAGCTGGACTGTAAGGTTCCTTCAGCTCCAGAGTGCTCTTTCCTCATGCAGACACATAGATTTGAACCCAAAAGTCAACACATTCTCTTGGCAGTTTTAAACTGAAGTAACATGGTGATTTTGAATAGAATGGCAAAATTAATTTACAGGAGCAGAACACAGCACAAGTCACATTTGGGTACTCGGTACCACAGCACTCTGAACAAAACACAAGGGCCAGGCAGTCCCATCATGCCCAAGACTTGCATCCTTCCATGAGGGAAATGCATCACAAATTCTGCAAAACCTGCCTAGATCAGGTAGTCTTTTCACTCAACTCTGCATTCAAACCATGTACAAAAAGACTTTCAGTCTTCCCCCATGGGAAGGGGGCACCCCTGTGACACTCAGATCAACAGTACCAAGTACTTCAGTTTGTTGGGAAATGGCAGCAGCTGTTCCCTCCTTTAGAGGAGCTGTAGTGACTTTAGCCATTATTTCCTTTATTCTTACCAGTCACATAGTATGGCAACATAACTTCCTTGACAGCAGTAGGCTATTCTTGAGACAATATATTTCTATGAGAAAAAGAAAAGGAAACATCCTTGTAAATTAAGACCATTTTATAAGCAGAAAATTCACTTTCACCTTTGTGTCTTATCCTTAAAAATTCACCAGACGTCTTAATTTACAGCAAGCTAAGCAACATAATTAAACTGCAGTCAAATATGTTTTGCACCAGTGTTTGCTGTTTTATGAAGCTTTTCAAACTTCTCCTTTTGCAGCCATCTTAACAGAGATAAAATATAACAGTTTTAATGAACTACTTTCAATAAACTAACTATGAGATAAGACAATGCAGGAAAGCACACCCTTAAAAATTCTTTCCTGTAACACTAAGCTGCTATTACATTTGTTAGAAAAGGAAGATAGTAATGCACAGCCAGTAATGCTGGGTTGCCCCCATTTTCAGCCTGCATGTGAGTGAAGCCATACCGCCCAACATGAAACATGTTCTGAAGAACAAGGCAAGACTATCTCAGGCCATTTTCCTAGTTTTAAAGAAGAAAAGCTATCTATATTGTATTTAGAAATCATACAGTTTCATCTGAGAACTTGGGAAAAAATCAGGGCAGTATCTCTGCAAGATAAACCATACCACTTGAAATATATAACAGCTGATTTGAGCGTCCCTAAGTGGGAACTAAAACTGGAGATGAGCACAAAATCTGCAAGAAGATGCCCCAGGGTGCTCTTTCAAAAGTATCTATCATACAGCATAAAAGATGAGACTGCAAAAGCAAAAAGGCTGGTTCTCAAGGATATTTTTAAGTTGTGATAACATTTCTGATTAATAAAGCCTTCTTACTAGAGTAGTAGTCAGTTGCTACCTTTAGGGCAGGGAAAATGTATCTTCTTGTCATTTTGCTGGCAGAATTCAGATGTGTCCTCAAATTCCCCTTCCTTTTACTCCCACTCATCCCTCACCTCTTTCCCTAACACAACACTGCTCACAAAACAGAGCCTCTAGTCCACCAGCTTCATCTGAATATTACTCTTTAAGGTAGCAATTGATGTGCAGGCGTTGTTAGAAAACCTACCCCACAGTTTTGCAATCAACTGAGGGAAGCAAAACAAGCTCTTATAGCCTCCAAGCATTCTAGTCAACAAGTTTAATACAAGAAGCTAATCCTTTTCTGAACAGTACATGACAACTGCTAAAAGATGAACTAACCGCAGGAAGGAAAGTTAATTAACAGTATAATTATAGCTGAAAATCAGGGTTATACGGTGCATCTCCAGCACAAGAGACAAAAAATCTCGTGTGATGCAATCTCTTAGAGGAGATGAGAAAAAGAAAAAACAACAGCATGCACCGCTAGCAGCACATGCTTCTCACTTTTTTCACCCATTTGGTTGGACAGAAGAAGAAACACTTTCTAAAATCCTTTATCAAAAAGATGGGATGTATCAGAGCTCTTGTAAACAGATGGCATTAATTTCTTCCTCCGCTGCAGAATTACAAAGTTGTTATTTCGTATTTAAAAGCGGGACCCCAGACCCCTGTATAACACAGATATAACATAAGCTTGCTGTTTCAAATACTTATTAGGATGAAGATGAGTGGGTAGCTACAATGCACACTTTAGATGTAGTTATTGCAGTGAGGAATCACACCATAACTTTAGAGTAGAACTGACAACTCCTTTATAAACCACCAGTGGGTTTTCTAGACATTCAAGGAAATAATCCAAGATGATATTTATTTCTAATAACAAAGCTTCTCTCTGTCTCATGCCAGCTTTCACAGTAAGTGCAGTGATGGAAGTGCCCACCTACACAGTCCACGCTTTGTCAGAGAGACAAAGGGTTCTGTGAACATTACATATGCAGAAGCTCTCTCCCACTCCTCACCAGGGAGACTTTGATTTAAACCAAATGCTACTCGCAGCTGGACAAAGACATGGAAACGCATCTTCTTAGCAAGCTCCTTCCTTTCCATGTTTCTTTAATGGGGAAGTTCACAATCAGTGAATTGAATGCAAAGCCCAGAATAGTATCTTGTTCAAGGACAAGCCTATGAAAGCAGTTAACTTAGAGAATAGCTGTGTGAACAGCCTGTGATAAACAGATGTTCACTTGATACTCTCTTCACTTACTCAGCACTTGTGTGCCAGTGTTATCAGCTTGCCAACACCTTAAAATTAACTTCTGATGTTGTCTGTGAGAAGCGGTAGCCCAATGGAAACTCAATTTACTGGAGCAGTGGGGTGGAGTTGTGCAATTCATGTTCTGGACTTTAAACAAGCTTCTGTTGTCAAGAGGATCAGATGAGGTGAAAGCTCTAAATAAGGAGAATATTTATATAGCACCATGGAATTAGAGAATTGCTTCCATTCTAGGGGGAAAAATGAACTAGGAATTTGCAATCTATCAACTGAAACCACCACTACACTGCTCAAAAACACTCCTACATACCCAAAACAGACAAATTCATCATCTGCCAAGGAAAATAAGCCCACATCTCTGTACTCATGTGGCCCACCACTACTTGCAATTCCATTATCACTATGCTTCAAATTATATTTTGAGCTTCAATTAATTCATAGCGGGTAACAGTGGCAAAAATGAAATGTAACATGAAGGAAAGGAAAAAACGACTATAATCCCACCTTATCTTTGGTTGCCAGAGTCATTAGCAGACTGAGTGCCACCTATAAAGCACTAACTCAAGAGTCTGTTACCTTAAATTCCAACTATAAATGTCACATTTGGTTTGAAGATGATCTTTGCCCTTTGATACACCTGGATGCACATCATGACTAAATACCACTGCTGGACATCAATTTATCTGGCATTTCCAGCCCTACAATGCCGTCAAAACACTCCTTTGGTCTGGCTGGCCATCAAGACAGAAACAATCTCTTAAGAAAAATTAATGCATTAATGAATGGTCACCACACAAGCTTAAAACTGTAGAGTTGGTCTGCCAGAAGTATGTAGTGAAATCTGTGTAGCAATACAGCATGCAGGTGGCAACCCACAGCGCTGAGGTTTAAAAGTCATTTATCTGCCTGTAATCACCAGAATACTGCCTCTTCCAAGTACACACAAACTCTAGGATCCAACTGAGCCTTCTGCACGTGCTGCTAATTTAGCTGCTGGAGACAGATTTTAATATGACTAAGAATTGGTGGCAACCAGAATTTCACTGATTCAGGGAACAGGTCAGCCTAAGGCTTCTAAGACGGCAATCAGAAGACACGCAATGTGCCAATGAACTGCAAAGCACTGCAGGAATACAGTTTATTAATTGATGTGTTATATATTTTAATCCACGATTTGTGTGCATTCCCTTTTGGTCACTGTTTACTCATATTGGGAGCAAAGCAACTATACAGAAATTTCTCAAACAATCAAAGGATACTCCAACTTTCTACTAAAGGACTCCATTAGCATATAGACAGTCATCCTACAGAAGTGATTGTATCAGGTGTTTTAGGAGACAAGGCAAGAGTTACTGAACTATGTTCAAAATCTTTATAAAAGAATTGGAGCTTTTTTTTCCTTTATATCTATTTCTGCATTTGTTAGTTTATATTATTTTTGGATAAACTTGTTTGTAAGCAATGGTGTTAGGATTCATGGTTTAGTTATGGGACTCAGGAGGTCGGGCTGATGGTTGGAAAAGTCCTTCAAGATTGTGAAGTCCAACCTAAATGGTTCTATGAATCTTAGTACTGTTAATTTATATGCCAGCTAGTCTAAGCAACAAGTCACACAGAAGTAACAATATGACTCCATTCACAGCAAGTTGCTTAATAGTTTCCAATGACCCAATAAATCTAGCAGGCAAAGTATTGTAAAATCAAGCCATTCTTACCCCACATAAATGCCCTGCAACATTACTAAAGACATAGATTCAACAGTTATCAAACAATGTTGTTTCAACAATGCACTCTCTTTTGACAACAAGTGTAAAACACCCAGACTACACAAGGATACCAACTAGGTGGATTTGTGATCTAATTTATTGAACCCATTTTTCACTTATGGAAAAAAAAGTCAGTAGCAACTTCAAAAATCCAGATTTCAAGCACTAAACTCAAACAGAAATGAGTTGAAAGACTTTGTGTATCCAGACAGAAGTTGGTTTAAAATTTCAACTATTTTTAAGTTCAAGAGCAGGTTACATTGTCCAGATAGTTGTTATGAACTCCTGCTAAAAGGACATCAAGGGCAAAAACAAGCGTTCGAGGTTTGAATCTTGTGATGCAAGTGGGCTGCCCTCAGAGCTTTGTTAAAGACAGAAATGAAAGTTGCATGTTATTATTCCTAAAAACCAACCAAACAAAACCAAACACCTACTGATGTTTTCTGCACAGAAAACAACTTGAGCTATCAGGTCTGTCCCTAGGAGTATTGTCCTTCCATGTGCGGTCCTCCCAGTTCATTACTGGGAATCTGACTAACAAGATCAGGTCAGCTCCCCATTGGCACCCTGAACATGTATATATCATACTACTCACATACAGACTGCAGTATAAGCATTGCTTCTGGGATATTCAGTTTTAACAAGCAAATCATATATTTTCATTTTGGATGACACCCAGTTTCAGAACAATCAAAAAAAAAAGAAATCCTAGCAGTTTGATTCCACAAGGCAACACTATTTCAGGTAACTTGTTTCAAATATTACAAAGCTTCTTCACTCAGAAAATTTAAAGTGCTGTTCAAGTTGCAATTTAAGTATGTTACAAATGGGTTAATTTTTTAGATTTTTCCAGTGTTACAGTATACTTTCTAGCAAAGGGACTAAGACATCAGTGTTCTCTGAAAAAAATAGTAAGTGAAAGCTTATTTTGCTTTGCAGAACATGTATTCTGCAAGAATTAAGAACAGCTACTTTTAGTCATTGCTTAGCATTTTTAGAAATTCATGTAATTCATGTAAGACAAAAATGAATTTCAGGGACTTTCTTCCTTCCCCTAAATTCCAGCCTATTTAACAGTTTCTAGGTCGTATGTAACTTCCAATATCACTGACAGAAGGGGTGTACTCCTAACAAAATGTGACAAACGTTTCTGGGAGTCACAAGGATCTACAGGACAGCAAAAGCATTAACACAGCCATACCTGGTCCATTTTGGTTGTCTCAGACCCACAGATGCTGCTTAGCTGACAGCAGTATACCTCTTCCCCAGTTTCATACTTCCAAAGTCTTAGAGTGCAATCCTGGATAGATTGAAGTGAATACAAGTTGATGACTAACAGTTCCTCAGGCAAAGAGTGGCAACTTGTGGCCCACAGCTAAATTCTATTTCCCTGAAGAGATTCCCACAGAAGTTCCTAAGTAGTCACTTAGCTAAGACCTCAAATTGCAAATAAAGCATTTTAATTAACATAATTCACCCCCCTTCCCCCCCCCTCCATAATTCTAAATTATTCAGTCATGATAACTTTAATTCTCCCTTTGAAGTGGAAATTGGGTAGCTCTAAGACTGGATTTCAAGTCTATTGGTCGCAAATAGCACAGCAATACATGTGATCAGCATTTTAATAGCAATTCTTTCAGGTTGCCTTTCTCCACACCTATTCTTGTCATCACCAAAATTCTCATCTGCTTCAGTAACCTCCTGGAGAAAAACTGAACACCTCTCTTCAGTGACTGTTTTTCCAGAGAATTTGCAAAGAATGAAATACAGCCACACAACGTGGACAGTGGAGCTGCTTAAACAGAAGGAGGAGCAAGAGACAGGAGTCTTAGGGATGCAAGAGCAGAAGTTGAACCTTAATGCTAGGAATTGCAACAATCTTCAACATTATTTTTTACCTATTCAGTTTTGGTAGTTTCAGATACAAATAATACTGTTTCCCTTAATTCAGATTAGCTCCATCTACAGGTCTGGTGTGACAAAAGAATCCCATCAATTTAAGAAAAAGAATGGCAGGAAGTTAAAACGCTTCTTCAGTTGTCATCCAAGCATTGTGTTATACTGCACTGCAGTCTCTACTCAACATACACTAGAAGCATTTATGAGGACATATAGAAGAGGACAACTCAGAGCATGTCTCACACAGGGAAGCAAGTGGGAGGGTGACGAGCGTACAGTTTTCTCATCTCAAAAGCTCTAAGAAAATCTGGGATTCTAAGGCCATTAATTCTCAAGACACTCATTACCACGGCAGGCTGACATAATACTCATTTGCTTCAAAGTTGTTTAAATAGTGCAACAATTAAAATTTGTCAGTGCTCCAAAGCAAGAGTTAATGATGAAGAAATACTGAGGGCTTTGCAATTTCTCCATCCCAAAGATCTTAATAAGAAGCTAGCTTTGCTATAAACATTGTAAATGGTTCTCATGGTCCAGCAATAGAATGGCTTAACACTGAACAGAAAGCTGAGAAAGGGAGGAAAAGGGAGAGAGGACATGCAAGAAAGATTATTCTGAGTGTCCCAGGAGACCTGGGGGAATAAAACAAGCAGACAATGGTTTTAAAGTCTAAATTTTCAAGAAAAACACTTTTTGGAAGAAACTGCAATACATACCCCAGAAGCTGACAACAGAAGATCAGGATAGTTGGGTACTGCAAATATTCTGCTCACAAACCTAAAGGGAAAGAAGTCAAACACTGAACTCTCTCTTCCATAATACTCAGTGTGTGTCTTTTAACACACACTAACAGAAAACACCAATTTCAAAGAGAATCTTATAATAAAATAAAAAAAAAAAGACTCTCCAAATAAAGCCAGTTAAGAGGAGAAAAAAGGTATGCCTACAGTACTTAGTACACTATATACATTATACAAACTTCATATTTAACAGAAGTATTTTCCCACCTGCTCTCAACACATTCCTCTAACTTCTTCCCAGCTGAGAGCATTACTATTGCGACCAAAAAGAATGCCAGTGTAGACAGATTTACTCAGGTAGCCCACTCCCTTTTCTCGATTCATGCTGCCCACTAAAACCACTTATCAACAGATGCTTTTAATACACTTCAACAGCGATGACTCAGCCTTCATCTACAACATCTCTCCCATCACAGTTGGAGATCATTCAAAACCAATCTTTACAAAGTTTTGAAACAAGTCCGTGACAATTTACCACCAGTGTCTACATTCCTTGTCAGAATCCTTGTTTTCCAGAAGTATTTAATATTGCTATGTCTTGTCTCTGGTGGGCAACAAGGACCTGAACTTCTGGAGTTTGTTATTATCTTACAGCGTAGCAATATAAAATGCAATGCCTTGAGTGGGACTGTCTTGCTTTTGAAAACAGGCACAAATTTAAGGCTATTAAAACAAGAAGGGAAAAAAAAAAAGAAAAAGAAAAAAAGAAAGGAAGGAAGAGATTTGGTAATGGCAAACTTTCATGACAAAGCCATAATAGCAGGTGCATGAAAGTTAATAGAACAAGAATCACCATGCAGCCCTCCAAAAGAGAAACCAGGACCATGAAACCAGATCCATGAATTATAGCTGCTTTCTGCAGTCCTTTGCTTATCCATTCCTTAGAGACTGAATTTTTGCATATATTTCAAGCAATTTACATTAAGTGCCTTTTCTCTACACTCAGCCATTAGTGAACTCTCTGCACAGGCACAATAGCCCCAGTTTAAAACTGCCTACTGAGGCATCAGGTTCTATTCATTAGGAAGTACAACTGTGTACACAGCAGGTGGAAAGTGCAGATATGGCTGTGTAAATATGCTATAGAAATTATCTGATATCAAAGACTACACTTTAACATGCGTAGTTCGGAGGTTTCATACTATTCAGGGTCTATAGAGGCTAGATTATCAAATTGTGTTATAAAAATCAAACAGGCACTCCAAATTAATGCATCCTAAACGCTCTGGGTAAGTTCAGATAGGTTGTTCTCACGCCTCAACTTCCAAAGTCACACTGTCTTACTTTAACTCTTGCTCCCGATACAGCAAGCTGACTGCACCATGCTGTGTCAACCTATGAAAGAACATGCCTGGAAGGCTGTAGTTATCCTCAATTAAATCCGCAGCTAGACAAAGAGAATTAAGCATGTTCTGTGACCTGTGCAGGGTGACATCTCCTTTGTTACCCTATCACTATGGTCTTCAAAATGTACCAACAGCTAAGGAAAATAAAATCATAAAATCACAGAATCACCAACGTTGGAAAAGACCTCCAAGATCATCTAGTCCAACCATTCACCCTCTGCCAATATTTTCCCACTAAACCATGTTGCCTAGTACCATATCTGTCTCTTGAACACCTCCAGGGATGGTGATTCAACCACCTCCCTGAGCAAGTTCAATATCCCTCAACAACAAAAAAAACTCTTTAAAAGCCCACAGAACCATGCAGAGATGGAAGGCAAACTGAAAATAGCACAGATGTTTTACAAAGCAAAGTGTAGACATGGGAATCTTTTAAAGTCTATCTGCCATTTGAGTCTTCTTAATGCAAGAAGAACTACTGAGGAGAGAAAGTACAGTCCCTCCTGCAGGCTACTACTGCTATACCAGCTAGAAGACATCCCTTACTAGTCTCATAGCGGATTGCATTTTAGATCATGGCAGCATCCTCCTATAAGGATATCCCCTAGGACACATCCACATATCCTTCTATTTGTCTAAATGTTCTTACCCACAGCAAAAGAACAGTTTCAAGAAAAACACCATGTCCCTTTTTTCAGCTACCAGAAAGACCAGAAAACTACATTTACAAGTGTGATTCCAGGATTCTGTTTTACAGGAACCTTTATAGGAACTTTATAGTTCCTAGCTCACTGTAGTCTAATGTTTAATGAAAGAGTGCTCTAGCCTTCTCATCAATACAGCTGTATTTTAAACACACAAAAAAACCCACCACAGCTGTATTATCAAAGAACTTGCAAGTCTGATCTCCTAAGATGCCACTAGATGAATATCTGTTCAAACAAGACACTCCCTTCCTAAGACTAAGACTGTTTTGAGCTAACAATCTCCAAACTTTGCAGTCTTTGTAACCTAGACCTGGCTGACATTTAATATAATTTGGGCAGACAAGCACTTCATTTGTTGAGGCACAATGAAGAACTGAGCGCAATGAACTTACTCTTCATGTCCCAGGCAGTAAGATACAATGTTGTAAGGAGCCTTAGTCAAACTGACTCTGATCTTCTCATCTCTATCTGCAGTTAGGATATACCGGTCATCAGGACTCAGTGCCTGTTGGAAAAGTGGCAGTTTTAGTATGCAGTAGTCCAATGTTTGTTTTAAAACACTTTTCCCAACCAGTGAAAGATAGAAGCAGTAGACTACCTCATTCTCTTGACACTGAATAACAAGTGCAAGCATTAAGCCACACATTTTCATCTACGATTGATGCACAAATCTTTATAACAGAAACTTGCTTGCTTACTAAGACAAGTAGCACAGACTACTAAGTCCAGTAAAATCTGCTGAATTGAAAGCACTACAGCACAAGTTCCACTGCATCTTCAAAAGCAAGAAACTTATCACACTGAAGAGCTACGCTGACATGACAGACTGGGTGAATTCCCTTATGCTCTCCATCTCCAAGTCTTCTGTGACTGTAACACAAATAATTTTTGAATGGTCATGTATCCAGACAGATAAACCCAATGCTTGCTTCTTTTCCAAAATCACCAAATCCAAATTCAGACAAACTCAGTAGAAAGAATTTCAGAGCATGTATGTCATCTATACAAGGAAGCTGATGCGCTTTGGCAAAGAAAACTACCTAAAGTTGAGAGAAGAGCAACAATTAAAGATGTGACTACAAGTTTAAGCCCTTGAGGAGTCAGGCAATAGGACTTGATGAACTTTGTAGGTCCCTTACAATTGAACTGTTTTGTTACATTGTAAGGAGTAAAGTTTGCACACTAAGTACACAGAGGCATGTGCTTACCGCATCCAGTAGCATGGACAAGTGACCCAGTTCAAATTTACCCTCTGCTTGTGGTTCTGTTATGGAGTACGAATAGACATCACCAGATTTGTCTGCCACCAGAATCTTATCCTCTGCAGCTGTAATAACGAGTGAAGTGCATCTCCTATTCACATGCCTGAAAGAAAAACAGCTGTGCTTTAAAGAAAGTCTACTGGATTTTCTTGCTGTCTCTATAAGACAAATCCAACCTAGGCACGTGGAAAAAAGAAAGAAAAGTAGAAGCTCTTAGCTCCTACTTTGCAACAACACATTAAAAACTGTGTTGAAGCCCTTTCTCCAGTAGTTAATCTGTATTGTACAGCAAAGTCCTCTGTGATCCTTGCAGGAAGTTCTTCCTCACATACAGAGTCAGAAAGTACAGTCCCAAGACTTCTTGTCCAGTCAAAACCCTGAAATGGAACTTTGATTCTCCCAAATCACCTGTCAGCATTTTATAGCTCCAGCTGCCAGAATAATGTTTTCTCACAACTTTTCAGGTAAATTTAAGGGCCACATATACCAGAAAAACAAGTATTAAAATAGGTTTAATCACTTAAGAATGTTTCTGCAAATTAACAGCCATTAACAGCTATTACTACTATTCTTCCATTTTCAAAATACCTCTTTTCCTAGCCTATGTTCTGAATAAGACATGTTATAAGACTGCAGACAATGGGGATCATAGAAGTGGACATTTCTACATACTCTGAAGCCCAGCGACCTCTAGAGGCAAAAGAACAACATATTACACTTCCAAAAGACAGATGAAAGTTTTCATATTCTTAGTGACTGTGAATAGCATAACCTACAGGACATGAATGCCTACTAACAAACACATTGCAGCACATTTTCCAAATAGGATACCTTGCCATCAAGAAAATTTTATTTCAAGTTTGGCTGTACTGCCTTTGATCTTAGATTCAGAAGTTCCTTGTCTGACACAAGCTTATTTATTACAAAAACTAGCACTGTGTGAAACCTTTAATACAGCTTGCCACAAAAACCACCACAAGTTACATAACTCAGCCTTGGCAATCTATTTTTCCATGCAGAGATCCTTTTGACTCTATTTCCAGTTTCCTAACAGGAGGTAGGAACAGCACAAAATTTCCATCTGTGATCTTAACTGACCTTCTTGTTGAAAACTAAAAATGTCAAACAATTATCCAGTGGCATCTTACAGGCAGAACAGGACAGGACAGCAAGGAAATGAGAACACAGAGTGAACAGAATTCGTCATTTCTGATTTTGCCAGCAATTACTCACTACAACACTGATTAAACCACTATGGTTAACCCAGAGGCCTGTCATGTATATCCCACACACACAGACAAGCTGAGACAGAGCTCATTTTGATTTTGCACTTGTCAAGATCACCAGAGGCAGTGTCCTAACACAATGAGTTACCTTCTTAGGAAGTCCTTCACAGATCCCTTTTTTTTTTTACAGAGGATTGTGACAAGCAGCAATGAAAAACTTGTAACTGGAGGACCTCTGGTGGACAGCTAAAGACAGTTTTCAGAAGAGAACTGTACTACAGACAGAAAACAGCAGTATTGCTAAAGATACACTTTTCAGACAGAGTTCACAAACTCCCTAGAAAATCTTCTCCAATCAACAGAAGCAGACAGCATGTTCACTAAACTGCTCACTGTCACTCTTAAAGGCTCAACCTTAGCACTCTCCAGGGGAAGGTAAAGTTCCAGTTCTTAAAAGATGCAAATATTGTCTTTTGGAATAAACAAAGTGATTACCCTTTTCCCAGACAACAACATAAACATCTGCACTTCCACTCTTGGTGTGAGATGTACCACACACCACCTCTTGATATGTATCTCTGAATTCCCCAAAACATTTACTTTGTTTAAGTTCTAGGGGGAAAAAAAAAAAAAAAAGCAACAAGAAACAGCTGCACCACAAGTTCTACTGTATTAATCATCCACAGCTCAATTACAAAGAGAAAAGTAAAATCCTGCTTCCTTACCTGATGCTAATGCATTCCCAAGAGGGCTTAGTCCGAAACAGAATCAGCTGTTTGTTGTCATCTGTCAAGACAAAATAATCTCCTGATGGGGAGAAGGCAAAAGCTAGGATGTTATCGCTTCCTTTGTCTGCTGGTTGTCCATCCTGTCTAATAGAGAGAAGGGAAAAGAAAAAAAAAAAAAAAAAAAAGAGTTCACAACCTGAAACACAGCAAGTGAAATTCTCCAGAGAAGGTTGTTCTCACACCACCAGCAAGAAGGAATAGAAATAGAAAGAAGAAAGTACAATACTAGAAGTCATGTTTGAGCTTAAAATGTTAAGCTAAGTTGAATGTTAAGGCAAAGCTATAGAGACTCTCCTTGCCCACAAAATCTTTTCAAAGATGCTTTCAGGTGTGTTTCAGATACATGATGGGCTATCTTAGAACTTAACAATGTTAATTAAAAAAAAAAAAAAACAATTTCTAAATGCCACAGCTAATATTCTACAAGAAGACCCACAGAGGCACATCACACAAATAACAGAATAACTCAGTTCAGAAGTGTACTACAATTCAAGTCAAATTACAGCAAGCTGCTCAGGTTCTGTGCAGTGAAATCTCAAATATCTCTAAGAATGGAGACTCTACAACCTCTCTGTGTCCTGTTAAAATGTTAAAGCACTCCTACAGTGAATAAGCTTTCCTCTTGTGCCTTGTACTGACCTTCTGTACAGACACAACAAACTCATCTTCTTTATACTCACCGCTAAGGTAATAATAAATAAGATAAACCCTTCTTCTCAACTCAAGAGGTTGGAATTTAAACAACCAGGAATAAATGTACAACTTTTAAGACACATCTCCACTTCACGATACAGGACAGTGCACAGAGCTGATGGCTGCAATGACTAAACCCTGAATCAGAATCACCATGTGAGAAATTACCCTTCATTCAAACTAAGCAATACAAACAAGACACAGAACTTTGCTGCAGTCAAATTCAGACAGAAATCGTGGTTTTCATACTGCTTATTTCTGGGTGGTGCACACTATGGGAACCTCCACATGAGTTTATAAGAAGACAGCACTCAAGCCAAGTGTATGGTTATAGACAATAATTTATTCAATACTTAGAGCATTTTTAAAATATTTAACAGCTTTTATAATTGGGAGGCAAGTTTTACATTTCTTTTTTCTCTGTGGTGGGAAAGAAAAAGCACAAGAAGAAGGAAACTGATGTAAGGCCAAGGCTTCGCCATTCCCTCCTTTAAAAGTACTAGGGTTCATGCTAGCATATCTTCATATGCTTTTAAGGGAAAATAGGAAAATTGTTCATGGATATAACAGTGGCAAGTGGTTGAATTTAAATTAAGACCTTTTCATTTGTTTGAAATCTCCTAATTTACAGAACAGACTCAAAGGAAGTTATATGTGTGCAGCAATAGAACAAGGGGCAACGGGCAGAAAATGGAACACAGGGAGTCCCTGTAGATGCTACCTAGATGTGTGTCCTATTGCAGGGTACCCTTTCTAGCAGGAAGTTGGTCTCAGTGATCTTTTGAGACAAGGAAGAACAAACTCAAACAGGCTACCCACAGAGGTTTTGGAGTTTCCTCTGAAGATATTCAAGACCCACCCAGATGCTTTTCTGTGCAAACTGCTGTAGGGAAGCTGCTTTCAGCAGGGATGATTGGGTTGGATAATCTCTAGAGGTCCCGTCCAACCCCTACAGTTCTGTGATTCTGTGAAGATTGTACCGATTTGGTTGTTTGTTTCTTTTTTTTGTTTTGTTTTCTTAGTTGCTCTAATCAAAGATGCAGCATTTTTTCTGAGATGAAACTAAAAAGTATATATACATCGATATATCTCACAGAATCACAGGGGTTGCAAGGGACCTCAAAAGATGACTGAGTCCAACCTCCTGCTAGAAAGGATACCCTGCAATAGGACACACATCTAGGTAGCATCTAGACAGGTCTTGAATATCTCCATAGAACGAGACTCCACAAATTCCCTGGGCAGTGCTCCATCATCCTTCCTGTAAATAAGTTCTTCCACATGTTAGTATGGAACTTCCTGTGTTCAAGTTTTACTCCTTGTCCTAGCACTACACGCCACTGAGAAGAGCCTGGCCTAATCCATTTGCCTCCCACCTCCCTTTAGATATTTATAAATGTTTATCAGAACCCCTCTCAGAATTCTTCTCCCCAGGGAGAACAGGGAGAACAGACCCATGACTCAGCCTTTCCCTCATAAGGAGATGTTCCAGGCTTTTCATCATCTTTGTGGCCCTTCACTGGACTCCTCCTTGGAAATCCCTGTTTTTTTTTTTTTTAACTGGGGAGCCCAAAACTGGATCTTAAATGCTAAATGCAGCCTCACCAAGGCAGAGTAGAGGGGGAGGATCACCTCCTTTGACCTGCTGGCCAAACTCTTTCAATGCACCCCATGATACCACTGGCCTTCTTGGCCACAAGGGCACACTGGTGGCTCATGGCCAACCCGTGGTCCACCAGGACATCCAGGTCTTTTTCTGCAGAGCTCCTCTCCAGATGATCATCCTCTAACCTATACTGATGCATGCAGTTATTCCTCCCCAGTTGCAAGACTCTACATATCCATGGGGGTTAGCAATGAGCATCTGGCCATCATCTATTCAAGAAGCAATCTCATGGGTTTATTACCTCGACAGCCACATAACCTCAGGGACAGATGCACCATCAAGGAAAACACCATATATCTACACTTATTTTCTCACCCTTTATTTCCTAAGGCCTTCTTTTCCACCTTGGCACAGTCATACACGAAGAGAGCATCATCCCTGCAAATAAAACAAAACAAAACAAAACCCAACAGATTAAAACTGCAGGAAGTGGAATAAACATGACTTTAACCATAGAGTGTGTCAACTCTTTCAGAACTTCTTTTGCCATTATAAACTCAGTTGATCCCTGCCCACTGTGAGCAGGGCTGCCCCCCACCAGCTCAGGCTGCCCAGGGCCCCATCCAACCTGGCCTTGAGAGCCTCCAGGGATGGGGCACCACAGCTTCTCTGGGCAGCTGTGCCAGCGCCTCACTGCCCTCTGAGGGAAGAAGAGAGAAGAATTCCTAACTTATAACTAAGCTAAATCTCCCCTCTCTCTGTTTAAAGCCGGTCTCCCTCGTCGCATCACTACGCTCTGAAAGTCCCTTCCCAAGGAGCCAAGCCGGAGGGCAACCCCACCCCACCTGGCACGCACTGACCTCTCCTCCCCTCTCCGCGCTACCAGCAGTCGGCTCCCACCGCCGACGGCCATCAACGTCCCGCGTAGCGCTAACGTCGGGCCGGGCCCGGAGCTGCGTCCCAATCCGCCCTCCATTCCCCTTCCACGTGCGAACGAGACGCGGAGTGTGGACGTCATCACAGGGCGAGACGATGATGACGCAACGGGAAGAGTAATGCGATAAAAAAAAATAAATAAATATATGTATAAATAAATAAATAGAAAGGGATCGCTGGGAGGGGGGGAGGAAAAAAAAAAAAAAAAGGGGGGGGGAGAAAAAGAGGAAGGTTTTGGTGATAGAGGGCAGCACGGGGCTTAAGGAGGAGGACAAGATGGCGGCGCCCTCGCTGCTCAGCTGCGGGCGGGTGGCTGCCCGCAAGGTGGGGGTCCTGCAGCGCTCCCAGCTCTAAAGAACCTCGGCCCGGGGCCTCTCCTCGGAGAGGCTCCGGGCCAATGGCTGAGAGCTTAATGGCTTTGTTTTTCAGGCGGTGCAACTGGAGGCCTGGGTGCTCCGAGGGGCGACGCTGTGCACCCGGCCAGGAGGCTCCGGGACGCCGCTGGACAGCAGTAAGATGCTTCAAAGTTGATTTTCCTGTAGCTTTCTGGTTTCAAAAGGTGCCAGGAGACCTGTCTACCTCTTTCAACCGTCTGCTTTCCCTGCAGATGGTTATGTTTAGGTTATGTATGAGATATAGCTGTCTTTTTCAGGTTCTAGCTAGACCAGGGTGTGCACGTTTTGGCACACTGCTGATGGAATCAGTGATGAGGAATTGACCTGTAAGTTCTGGATACCACCTTTTGGAGCATGAACATGTTTTAAACACATATCAGCAATTGTAACTGACGTTACAACCTAAGTTGCTTGTGATAATAATATTCTTGTTTTGGATGTGTTGTTCTTTCATCAAAGTCAGTTCAGTAATGGCCAAATACAAATCAGGCAGTAAAAAGTTTGAAATACCCCAACTGAAGAGTAAGCTCATGATTATGAGTCAAAATGTGACTTTTCCGCATATCCAAATATTATGATTGAAGTATTTTTCCAGCAGCGCTGCCTCTTAATGCTCAAGTTGAATGCTATCTGCTTTTGTAATTTCTTAGGACATCTTTAGTACTAATACTTCAGCATTTGCTTTGGTTTTGCTTGTCTGTCTTCCCTTTGAGCATTCTTGAATTCTTCCGCAGCAGTTCTTTGAAAACCTTTTTGGCCTTGAGGGATGCTTTCTCAAATATTAGATTATTATTATATGTGTTTCGCTGTTAGTCTGGGCAGGGAGTCAGATATCCTTCAAATGTGATTGCCAGTTCTCTTGCTTCCCCCATCTTCTTTCCCCACCCTGTGCCTTTAGTCCAGCAGAGATACGTCAGAAATTCTCCAGAAGTATTACCTGAATAGTAAACTGATAGTATATTCTCTATTATTTGCATTTATTTTAAGAGCTCTGTATTTCTATTTTTGGCTTTTAATTAGATGTATCTGTCTCTTCTGTGATATTTTTATCTCAGCATTGTTAAAGACTTGCTTCTATTCAGAGCTACTTACAGTAACTCCTTAGGTCATAAAAGGTATTACTGTGGAACACCAGTAAGGGAAAAAAACTGCAGTCTACCTTACAGTCCTGTGAAGTAGGTCTGGGCTTCCAAACCATGCAGATATATCTGCACAAAAGTGTGGAAATTGGTTGAACTACATTACAGGTTGGAAAAAAAAGTGCAACTCCTATGGGTGGAATGGACTTTCCTGTAGCAAATAACAGTAATGAAGTATCTTTTTAATGTGCTCTCAGTTCTTTTTGTCCTCCTGTTTTCTCTAACAAAGATAGTATTTGCTATTGATCTGCTCCTGGAGCCTCTGTGAGGGAGAAGAAACACAGGTTCAGAAGCATCAGGAAGTCTTGTAAGACTTTTTAAAGAAGAGATTTCAAACTAAAATGGGAAGTGGAGATAGAAAAAATAGCATTAAACTGAGATGCAGATCAGCTGGTAGATCACGCAGACCTATGAACTGGTAATACTTTCATGTATGGCCTCAGGTATCTCTTGCACTAGTACTAGTTCCTTGAGAGTCATCCTTCCCTACTGCTTACAAGATAGCATTAGCCAACCTCTTGCAATAGTTAGATCTGTTTACTATGTCTTCTGCTCTGCTAGCCTGCTTCTGGACAAATATTTGAAGATCTCTGCTGACAAGTTGTCTGAATGTTCGCCAGAGATTAGAAGGTGTTTGTAACCATCTCCAGTGATGCAGAATTGAAGCACAGAAAAAAAACAATTCCTGCAAGGAGCAAAAGGCGTTTCAGCATCGCAGCAGCAAAAACTGTTCAGTGTGAACTATCGCTCTAGTTTCTTTAGCTTAAAATGCCTTAGAGCTTTCTGCTTCATGTCTGTGTTCACTTTAATAACTTTGTAATTTGCTTTTTTTTTTACTAGATTGTGTCAGAAAGTTAAAATTAGATGGCTAACATCACTCATTAGCTGGGATGTATGTATAATGATGATAATCATCTTTGTGCCATTCCCTTTATGTAGTGGCACCACAGGGAGGCACCAAGATACTAGCCACCAAGAATACAGTTGAATTTCCTAAAATGTTGTCTTCTAACTCTCACCCAGTATCTGCAAAAGAAGGTGGGAGCACACTGAATACTAATCCAAAGGAAGCTTCAAAACCTGATGAAGATCTGAGAATATTGATGTCAAAAAAAACTGTGGTTGCATTTCCTCAGCGAGCGATTGTTTCTTCCCTTGAAGAGGCAAAACTCAGTAAAATTGGAAAAGGAGGAGGCATAAGGAAAGAACTAGCTGAAGAAGAAACTTCGTCTTCATCCAGCTCAGATTCAGATTCTAGCTCAGATTCTGAAGAAGAAAACGATGACGGTGATGAGTCAGGAGTTTCCATTAAAACCAGAGTGGAGTTTCCTAGGCGAGATTCCATCTTTTCTGAGAACATACCAATAAAGACATCGCAGCTACTAAGAGATGACTTGTCCCAGAAAGATCAGAAAGAATACGTAGTTAAGAAGAAACCAAGCAAAATGGAAACTGATGTACCTACTGTCAAGCAGGTTGTATTTTCTAAGGCATCAGTCAGTCATGAAACATTAAAATCCAAAGCAAGAGACCCGAACACAAAATCAACTCCAAAAGAAACAGATCAGCAGAAGCTAATCTTAGAACCACGCTTGGATAAAAAACAAGTCTTGACAGATGCCACTCTGAAATCTGATTATTTGGGGGAAAAGTCTGTGGGAGCCCAAACAACAACTACTCAGCTGAAATCTCCATCAGTGACTCATGAAGACAAAAAGCAAAATCTGGTATCTAGAAGAAAAGGAAAAGAAGTAAAGGAGACACAGAAATCAGAAGCGGTAGAGGTAGTTTCTCCTAAACAGGAAGAGGAGATTTCTGAAAGCACAGCGTTGGTGATGGGTGCAAAGGAAGAGCCTGTTCAGGAAGCAGGAGTCCAAACTGGAGAAAGCAGCACCATAGCTGGTACATCTTTAATTTGTTTCATCTGTGTTATAGATTCTTCTGGGTTAGGGTGTATTTTTAAAGAATGGTTTCCAAGTCATCTCTGTGATTCTCTGATCCTTATACAGAAGCTAATGATGTAGTAGTGACTTTCTAGAAGATAAATTCTTGTTCACTGCTAATTGTTGTAATAGCTTTGTAGCACTCAGTTTCCAGTTACATTGTGAAAGGAAGCTGTCTTCCTCTCACTGTACTTGCAGTTTCATAAACAGTTGTTACTGATAAAAATGAAAACAAAATTATGAACAAAATAAGTTTTGTATGACAGAGCTCATTTTCCTTCTTTGTTGTCAGAAAGTTTTGGCAGCTTTCCTTCTCTCTCCTCCCTTTTTTCTCTTGAACTCTTACAATGCTTCAGATTTCAGTAGACTTCAGGAAATCATAGCGTAATACCAGAAACAGGTGTTGATTCTGAGATTGGTAGGTTTTAAGAAAGTCATGTTGAAGTAACATAGAGTTGACCTCATAGCCTAACTCTTGTTGAGAAATAGAGAGCAGAAGGTGTTGTGTTTTGTTGTTTGGTTGGTTGAGTTTTTTTGTTGTTAGTTTGTTTTTAGGAAAAAGCATCATGCCCTCCCTAGCTATACTTTCCAGCTTAGCTTTCTTAGTTGCCACCAGTCTTCTTAACTTTCCTACTGATCTCATTCTGTGTATTTAAATAGTAAATTCTTCTCTGTCAAGATCTTTTGTGACTTGCTGTTTCAAACTTAGCATACCATTCTTAATACAGCCCTTTTCATTGCTTCTTTGAATTAAAAAAAAAAAGAAAAGAAAAGAAAAAAATAGGAAAAAAAAGGAAAAACTTGCTTGAAGCGGAAGCAGCATCATTATAAAGCTGTAAGGATAGCATCTTTCCAATGATACCCTTGAAGAGCAGGCCCTACCGGATCTTGGTGGACAGCAAGTTAAACATGAGCCAACAGTGTGCCCTCATACCTAAGACCAACAGTATTCTAGGCTGCATTAGGATGAGTGTTGCAAGCAGGTAGAGAGAGAGAATTGTTTTTGCTCAACACTGGTGCAGCCACACCGGGAGTGTTGGATCTCCAGTTCTGGGCTACTCAGTACATGAGGCATGGAGAGATTCAAATATGAGTAGGAGGGGGACGACTTGGTACTGAAATGTGCTCATGATTCATAGTGAAGCTTACACCTCATAGATCTATTGAACAGCTTTCACTACTCTGACACTGACTCTGACGCTGTAAATTCAGAGTAAGGTTAAGCCTGTGTGACAGACTTTTCCTGTAGATCTGTGTAACAGCCATGTTTCAGATCTCTTGTCAACGTAGCCCCACCAGCAAAACCTTTAGGATAGACCTGGCTATTCTGAGAAAGTGACTTTGCTATTGAGCTCCTCTTGCTGTGTGGAGGTGGTGGGGCTGTGTCAGCAGAAAATTGTCTACTAGCTTTGTGCTGAGAGTCTCCACTAGAGGACACTGCTGCTGTGGCCATGTGGGAAGCAGGGGTTAGTACAGGTGAGTTAACGCACCTTTACTGTTGGTGAGACATCTTTGGGTGTCAGGGAGTAGCAGAGTGAAACCTAATTACGCTGTTCAGCAGCATTGCTGCTGTCTTTAGGGTATTCTCTCTTCTTTTTGAGACCTCCTTTGGAAACAGCGACTGCTTTTTCATGTTTATTGTTCACAGTTAATAATTCCTTTTGTAGTCTATTATTCTGTCCTGTTCCTATATTATTTCACTCATCTGCAAAGTCTGCAGCAAGTATACTGAAGATGTAATAGTTCTAGTAGTTCTTAATTTAATTGTTTTTCTCATTACAAACCTAGATGTTAAGCTGATGTCATCCACTTGGTAGAACAGACATGCTACACAGCAAAAAACTTCAGCTGTTCAATAAGAAGCAAAATAGCATGGTAACTCAGAAATATCCCTGTGAGTCATTTCGGAAGGACATCCTGAGATATCCTTGCTCTTTAAGAGAGAAGGCATAGAAGAAGTCTGAAGTGCAAGGAGAATGAAGTCAGAGATAAATTTTTCCTTTGAGAAGCCAAGTACAGTGTATTTGGGCAGAGAAAGTGAGACTCCATCTGCTTTTCTTCCTGAGCATCTGTCTCTTAATTTGGAACAACTGTCTCTTGCAGGTTGAATGTACACTTCCCTACGCTTCCCTGTTCTTGGGGCTATTTGCAGTGAAGCCTATATCATCTGGCTTTTATATGTGTAGTAGTGTCTCCTGTGAGCTGTCTCAGTAGGAACTGAGCAGCAGAGATAGGGGTATTTCTTTTCATAGGTTGTGTGTTGTTTTGCTGAAACCATGGCTTACTACATGGCATTTGATAAGCAAGCCATGCTAAATTTTATGTATACACGCTCTTAAACCAGTAGCGTTACACTGCAATAATTGTGTCATAATTAAAGGGAAATTCTGGTTCGAGTTCTTGTATTTTTATTGTAGGCTGTTGCATTATAAAAAGAAGCTTAATACGGTCTAACATAAACCACTACATGCAAATTTATACGAGGAAGCTTTTCACTAGATTATGCTTATGTCTTTCCTATTGCTATAACTCTGAGCATATGAGAATAAATTAATATTGGAAATAAAGCTTTATTTCTTGCAATTTCCTTGGTTGTAAAATCAGCCCGTACCAGGATCCTTTTATGTAAATAGTACTGCCTAAATTTGCATAATATTTTAAAAGTGAAAGAATTAATGTTGGTTTTAATGTGAAATAAAGAGTTCTGAGCAACACTATTAGATTGTTCTTTTAGGAAAAAGAGCTGATTACAAATTTTGAAAGATTCTATCACAATTGCTTTTTTTCTGAAAGAAAGAAAACGTGTATCAAAACCTCATAATATATTATTGTTAGTATAAGCACATTTGAAAAAACTGTGAAGATATCAATAATTCAATCACTTTCCCCATGGAAAAAAATTCAATCTATAAAGTAGTTCCAAGAGCTGTATCTCATGGTCTGACGTGGCGATATATCATTTGCACTGCTTCTTTGCCTCTTCTGGCTTGTTAAGAATGTCACCTACTGTTCTGGCTGAAGTGAGAACCAAGGCGAGCCAGGAAATGTAGGCATATGTCTTCAAAATACAAATGATCTGTTCTGCCCAATTCTCTCCCAGCATTAGGTGGTAGTTTGGATTTGAAAACGTGTGCTGTATTAGATGGTTTGTACATTCCTGCTACCCTGCTGAACAGTAATATTCTTTAGGATCAGACAGGGTACCAGCAGAACCTAAACTTATCCTTTTGTTGTAGTTGCTTTTTTGTTTTTTTGTTTTTTTGTTTTTTTGTTTTTTTGTTTTTTTGTTTTTTTGTTTTTTTGTAATATTGCCTTGATCATCATAGAATCATAGAATGGCCTGGGTTGAAAAGGACCACAATGATCATCTGGTTTCAACCCCCTGCTATGGGTAGGGTTGCCAACCAGCAGACCAGGCTGCCCAGAGCCACATCCAGCCTGGCCTTGAATGCCTCCAGGGATGGGGCATCCACAGCCTCCTTGGGCAACCTGTTCCAGTGTGTCACCACCCTCTTGATGAGGGATCTGAATGTTGCTCTCTTCTGGTGGCATCCCTGTAGTTACCAGTTACTGTTTCTTTTCACAGAGGCTACAGCAGCTGCTCAGCCTGCTCCAGAAGAATTCGATAATTCTACCTACAAGAACCTCCAGCACCATGAATATAACATCTATACCTTTGTTGATTCTCTTGTGGATCTCTCAAAATTCAGGCAGCCGCAGCCATCTTCTGGAAGACCATCACCAAGACACTGAAAGAACCACAATTAAATGCAGAAGCAGAATGATAAATTCTTCTATTTAGCTCTAATGTATCATCTGTTATAAATCAATAAATGCATGATAAGTAATGCTTGAGCTTTCAAACAGTTTTTGGTTCTTGGAGTCCCTCAATTCTTGATTTTTATGATCAAGCTACAGTCAATGAATCATCAACGAATAAAAATAGGCTTTTTATCTCTCAGCGTATACACAGTGTGAAACTGTCCTGACTTTTCCATGTTACTAGAATTTTAATATTGACCATGTACTGTGTTGAAGGAAGTAATGGCTTCTGTGGATGTGTCTGTTTAGTTCATGCCGTAATTTTACATGGTTTTAGCAGGTATTGCTGGAGATGCTCAGGGCCAGGTTGGAAGGGGCCCTGGGCAGCCTGAGCTGGTGGAGGGCAGCCCAGCCCACAGTGGGGCTGGAACTGGGTGGGCTTTAAGGTCCTTTCTGACCCACATGATTCTGTGATCTCCATAATGCAGTGGGCTGTTCACCTTGCACACAGATGTTTTGTGTTTTAGAGGTTGCACTTACTCTGGTTTTGGATGTGAAATCATTGGCTGAAAGCAAGTCGCATTTGTCTCTTGTGGCAACAGTGCATGTTGTATGTTAGCAGATGAATGAATCTCAAATTGTGTGTTACTGTAAAGGGGAAATGTAACGTAACTTACTCTTCTGCTGAGTGTGCTAGCATCCAGGCTCTGCAGTAGTTAAAGCTAATTAAAGTATATGAAAACTTCAGTGAGCGGCTACTATTGAATTATACCACATTGATTGAACTTTGAGAAATAACATATTTCTGTGAGTTATATTTGCATGCTATTTAAATGTGACCAAAGCAGCATTATAAGGAAAACCAGCTCCTATTATTATTTTTTCACTGAGACTATGTTTCTGTTCCCACTTTTTTTTTTTGTTCCACAATAAAAATTAATGTGGCTGTGTCCAGCTTCTCTCTTGCTCTGCAGAAGATATGAGAAATGAAGCACTTCTCAATCTGTATTATCAGCAGTTACAGTTGGTCTCAGTAAATTTTGTATTTCCATCCTATTAGTAACAGTCTTCTACCCTCTGGGAAAACTGCCTTGATGACCACCAGCTGTTGTAGGGTTGGTTCCATTTTGGCTTCTTGTTCATTTCGTTTCTCGGTGTTAATTGGTCTTTGTGTGGTTATACTTGCAATAGCAGACAGGTTTTCTATCACCTGTCTGTATTCTTTCAAGCAGCAGAATATGCAAGATCAAAGGGAACATGGAGTCAGCTTTAGTAGTCTATCTGGATACTGGGCGCAAACCCCTGGGTGCAATTACTAGAACAGCTATTTTGTACTCTGACTTGGCAAAAAATGTGGTAAGAAGGATCAAGAGGCCTACATCAATCTGCTGTTTAGATTTTTTAAGTCAGAAACCTCTGGCGAGAAATTTTATTGTCCTGTAAAAACTAAAAAGCATATTACTGACTTTAACTATGAAATTTTAAATCAGTAAATGCATAAATCCACACGCTTAGGAATAAAGAGCAGAAAGTTGCTCTGAGCCACTGATGATACCACATGCACTGTATTTGGGAAAGAAATTTGCTGTTAACGTTAAAAAGATTAAAGAATAAGGCAATGGGTCTTCAGAATGAGCTTTTGGACACTTCCCTTATTAAGTGCCCACTGGAGGGCCGCTGTAAAGCTGCTGTGTTTTGTCCTTAGCTGAAACTCAGTATAATATGTAGTTCAATCCGTGCTGGTGTGTAAATGTGTTCCCAGTTGCTTATTTTATGATGACTGGAGGAGGCTGCAAGCTGCCAGAATCTAAACAGTAAAAGCTAAATGGTGCCTATTAATATGCTTATGTGTTTACTAAGCCTGCTCACGGTGGCTATGATTGTTAGCTGTTTGGAATCAGAATTACTCACTTAATGCACTTTTTTTTTTTTTTTTTTCCTAAGGAGGGTTGGTGTTACAAACACTGAGTTAATTCAGCTAGGCTGAAACTGAAGTGTCTTGTCTTCACTCAATTTGAAAGTTCTTCTGAAGTGGATTTGCAGCAATATTTTAATCTGTATTGATGCAAGGCCTTTTGCTACCCTTTTTCAGTGATTACAGAAAAAAATAATGTCAAATGCCCTTTGTGTAATCCTATTTGAGTGCTTTGTGGGGTTATCTTTTTGCACCTCTGAAGTCAAGCTTGAAAGTCAAGCAACTTTATAATTCTAGTATGTTTGGTATGTGTGTGGCATACACTCTGTTCAGTGAATCAGTCCAAGAAGGAAAATAATGTAAGGAAGGGAAGAACACAGACTTTTTCCCACTGTTGTATCCCAGACTTCAAAGAAAAAGGCTTCATTTTTTGTTTTTTGTCTATTATTTGATGTTATTGTGTTTGAATCATATGCTAACATTTAAATTTCAAGCAGGATGTGATACAATATGCTCATATTCTGTGATGTTATGATGATGAATAACTGCCTTATTCTGCCTGGCACTTGTCAGATACAGTCAGGAAACTTGTTTTAAAGAATGCAGAGTCTGGGATACTAACATAATTCCTGGAAACTCTCAAACGTGAAAGAAAGAAATCAAGTCACAGCTTGGATTTTGTGAAAATCAGCTCTGTAGATCCAGCATAGAATTCAAAAGTGGGGTTTTCAGTGGAGGTAGTGTGTCATTGTGGGAGAACATGAAAATATGGAAAGTGGGATTCACTGATTTCTCATTAAAGAAGGTGAAACTCCTGCTTCCGTTATTGAAGGGAGCAGTTTTCAAACAAGTGCTTCTAAGCTTTTCTCATATAGCAAATGAGTTACCCACCAATAAAATTGCTTTCAATGATTCCCTTGCATGTAGATCTTTGAAAATGAAATTATGAACCCAGAAGTTTATAGATAGTGCTTGAAAGCTCAGACTCTAAGGTCTAAAAGTAGTGATAAAAGCAGATTGTGCTGATTACTTGAGGTATTGCAAGGTCAAGATTCTTTTGGTCCTTGTGGTGCCTCCTTTGGCAACCAGTCATAACCAAGGCAATCCACAATGCTATTTTGGAGATTTATTTTAAATCTGAGACATGGGACTTTTAACTGGAGATCTTCCAAATTATGTCCTTAGATTTCAACAATCAAAACACACTCAGTGCATCTTCCTCTGCTTGTCTGTAAATTCACGAGCCATAAAAGATCTGTCTATAGTCTTTTCTCTACTGTCTAAGCTACTTGTACAATTATATTGTCTACTCTTATCTGAGGATGGTATGTAGTCCTTCCTTTTCCTACTCAAGGTAATGGGAACACAAGAATACTGCCTATGCTGTCCGAGTCTGCTGAAGATCTGTAGCAGAGCAGGACTTCCCATCTTTATGCTGATCAGAATCCCATAGCTCACAAATGGGCTCAGGTGAGACTTTGTGACCTTGAGGTATTTTGGGAGGAGGAATAGGGGAACCTTGTGAAAGCAGCTATCTGTTCCAAACAGTTTTAATTCCTGAGTTGACCCAATCAATGACTACTCCCATTCTGTGAGGAAGTAAGTAGAAAGCATGCTCACAGTATCCTGAAGGACTGTAACGTCAGAATAATGGAAATTGTGGTTGGAAGCAACATCCCGAGACTAAGAGTCCTCTGCTCTGCAGCAGGTGCAAGTAGATCAGATTGTCCCCAGCCTTGTATGGTTACGTTTTGAGTATCCCCAAGCATGGAGATCCCACAGTCTTTCTGGTCACCCCGAGCACTTTAACATCCTCACAATTCAAATGAAAACAACAACAAAAAAAAAAAACCCCACAATCTTTACCTGTTATCTAACTGAAAAGTTTGGGATTGTTACTCTCGTCCTTACTGCTCCTTCCCTATCACTTTAACTTCATCAAAGAAGGCAATCAGCTTTGTCAGGTGCTATTTACTGCCTTAGGTAGTTCTGTTTTGACTGTACCCAGTGACCTTTTTGTCCTTCATAAACACAGGCATAGGTCCTAGGAAGATTAGTTTTACACTGTTCTAAGGAACTGAGCTAAGGATGGATAAGTTGTAGTTTCCCAAGTGTTCTTTCTTGTCTTCATTAAGCAGGCTTGACATCAGCCTTTTCCTCAGATATCAGGAGCTTCACACAGTCTCCATGACTTCCCTAAGGTGAAAGAAATTGGCCTTACAATGGCCCACACCCTTGAGTATCATGTACAAATGTATCTTAGTGCTTGCATGGTAACCTTAGTGTTCATCTCAGTGTGATACTGTTCCCAATACGTTCTGTTTAACATCTTTTAGAACTGTAGAATCATTAAGGTTGGAAAAAACCACTGAGATCACTAAGTCCTTACTGTTGGTTTTTTTGTTTTTTTTTTTGCCTGCGAACATTTAATTACATTTGGAAATTCACACCCACCTCTGAAAGTTTTGCAATATATGGCACATTTGGGATAGAAAACAATGTGTTTACACATAGTTAGGGACAGACACAGGTTTAAATGTCTGTTCATAATAATAAAGTATCCTACAAACTTTGGGTCAGTATAAGGGGTCAGTAGATCAGATCCCAACATTTATTTTGGGTTTGCCTGCGCTCTTAGCAGTTTTTTTAGACGTGTTTCAGTGAATCTGAAGCCTCGAAGAATGCAGCCTATAGGCTACGTGTAAATTCCTAATGCTCGCAGAACTCATGCCAGGTATCTTAGTGACAAGTAATGCCTAAAATTCATAGCAGCAGTCTCTTTTTTTTTTTTTTCCAGTCTGACATTCATTTCAAATGGCAGTATCACTTTCCAAATCTGAGTGTTCTGTTAAGTCTAGATACTTCCTGAAGCAGTTAATATCCAGTAATTTAAAAATGGGCTAATTAAGATTATTTATGCTTTCTGGTTTAGTTGGTTGGGTTTTGTTATGTTTTCTGGTTTTTTTTCTTGTCTCTCCCCATCATTATGAGGTGATTTTGTATTATGTTTGCATGGAGGAGATGGATATACTTTGTTTGTAAAATCAATGATAGTGACTGTCCAGCACTGAAGAGGGAATGTGCAAAGCACAGCACACCTCATACTGAGTAAATGCCAAGGGCCTTCATCAAAGAAGAGAGCAACAGATACTTTTTCCTGGAGGCTTGGAAAGGATCTTCAGAGAGCTATCTCTTGAAGCTTTCATTTCTCATTTTCATGCACTCTTTTGTCCTAAAAACAATTTAGTTTAATATCAGACTAAACCATTCTAATCTGTTGGTGCTTCCCAAACTCTTCTGGAGTGTCCTTAAAAGTGATATATATTCTGTTCTGTTAGGATGGGAAGAAATGTAAGGAGAGCAGGAAAGAAATTCAGAATATGGAAAAGAAAAGGCTAATGTAGGAACTGAGGGCATGCATGGTCCCTATGACTCAGGTGTTGGACTGGATTCATTTGTGAGGCCCCTGGCTGCCTGCATAGCCTTTGGCAAGTTGCATCATTTCTTGGGTTCTCAGCCTTGTTTTACAGGTGTGGAGTTAGTGGTCCCAGCGTTCTCTTTGTACCTCACATCTATTTACAGAGCAACTCAGACTGAAAACTAGTGAAAAATACTTTTTTTTTTTTTTTTCCATGTTCTATGTTGAGTATGCATATTGTTTAAAAACTCTGAGCTAATTCAGGTCCTCCCAAGAGATGTGATAATTATTAACCCTATAACAAGAGTATATTTCAGATAGCTTGCACAGAAATTCCAACAAATTTGAAATTGCATTCAGGCAATGGTTGGGCAGTTTAGATTAAAAAAAAAAAAAAAAAGAGGGGGCTTTACAACTGTTCCAAATACAACTTCCTTATAGTGGAAGACTGTTAACAGACAGGAAAAATTGGGGAGGTATCCAAAACCAGCAATCCACCCTGGTGAGAAATCCAGCTGCTGGGAAGTGGAATGGTGCTGGAATTCATACCGGCTTGTTGTCTCTGGACACCAGTCAATGGCCTCCATCTTCTGTATCACCCTCCCATTAGCAATAAGGATTCGGTAGTTTTAAACTCTTTCTCTTGGTGGCTTGGAAAGGAGAAGGAACCTTTTCTCTCAAATCCTGAAGAACCTTTCCAAAGCTCTAATCCTGGAGGAACACCGCTGCTTTACTCCGCTCCTGAAGATGCTGTGGGGCAGAAGTAAATTCACAAGCTGTCTGCTTACTGCTGGGCCCTCTGTATTCTCATAGCCTCCTTCCTCTGTGAGCAACTCCAAGATTTACCTTGAGGACCAACTGGTGCTGGGGAAGAAACATGTTTGAGAACCTCAAGAGAGACACCCCATCCTGTCTGCAAGTTTGAGGTGACTGAAAGAAAAAAAAAAAGACAACTACAGAAAAAAAAATTGGGAGTTCTTTTCCTTGATTTAGTTGGTCTTTTTTTTTTTTGAGATTTTCCACATAGCCTCAAGGAATGGGGCGGCTATTTTTCTGGATGTTAAGATTTCAGGTAACCACAGCACGGCTCCAGCTGCTCCGGCCTCAGGCTTTCTGCTATTTACCAGTTCACGCGTGCTAATGTTCAGAGACCTGGCAGTGCTTCAAGCAACTGAGCGTGAGTGCTGGGCTTCCTCATGCCCTTTGGCTCTGCGGTGGCCGTGCTGCTGGCCCTACTGCTGGCCCTACTGCTCCACTGCCCTCTGCCACGGTGCAGGAATAGCCCCAGAAGCACTGAGGAGACAGCTGGCTCAGAAAGGCATCCTCGCATCACGTCACACTCGGTAAGTGATCGTTGCTGTCAGAAGGAGTAAGGTTTTCCCTTTTTTTTTATAACTGGGATAGAGGTGTTGTGCAAGCTGACCACAGGGATCCTGCTGTATTAGCAGGCAAAGCTTCCCACTCCTCATTGGCGAGCTGATTTTGGTGCCCTGAAATGCAACTCACACTATAAACCTTAAAAAAGATGTCTGCTGGATGCTTTTTGAAACCCCTTTAAATGAATAGTTTGCAACCTTCTTAGGTTATTTTTTTTCTTTCATTTTTCGTGTTTATATTGTTCAGATGTAAATATTAAAACCAGCACGAGCAATAAAGATGAGTTGCCAGTAAAATAGTTTGGCCTCTGACTGTGTGGAGGAAGCAGACTGATTCAAGAAAATATTTTCTAAAAGTCACTTTTCTAATCACGAGACTACTCTAATAACTGTTTCTTATTTAAAATCGGTACTATTTTCTATCTTACACATTGAACTTAGGGTGGAAGTGCAAGTTAATCAGCACTCTGCTTCCTCAGTGATACTGAGGATACAGTGATATTATGAAGGGTACCAACCTGGTTGAGTAAAAGTGAATGGAAAGCATCAGGGAGGCATTTCTGAGGCTCCAAAAAGGGTTTGCGAGCAATAGATGATGAACTAACATGAAATAGTACTTATAAGTATATGGGATGCTGGTAAAATTCTGGCTCCAGATGAATCAAAGGAAAAATTTGGATAGACTTCTGTAATGCCAGACTTTTGCCTTGTCTCTTTAAAACTCTTATGGTGAAACTCATAGGGAGGTATGTCTTGCCCAGTTTGCATTTTGTAAAAGTATACACACGTTGAAGACTCACTGGTAGGGGACCACATATGGGATTCTATCCTTGACATCGCTAAGCCGGTGAGTGTATTTTGCACCTATTTATGTTGAGTGTGTTCAGCAACTTGCATGAGGAATTCCGTATCCTGAAGGGCTGACTTCATAATTTGCAGCTGTGTATATATATTTCCTTAATGCAACCACACTAGTGTTTCTTTATTATCATTGTTATTTTAAAGGTTTCAAAAGCCTTCATGACTTCTGCTTCTATTTCTTTAAGTCCTGCTACCCCATGTTCCACATTCTGACTTGTTAGATTTCAAGTCTTGGCTATGGCGTTGAGGCTCAGGTT